ACCAACTCTCTGCTTATGGGCGTACTTAAAAAATCCGTTGTACTACCGGGCGATCTGTGGTAAGGCTATCGACGCAGGCAATTAAGTTAAACTGGATTAGAGTGTGTTCGTGTAACGTTTTTCTCAGCTGTTATGTTATTCGCCTCACAACGCCAGCTAATCCCTTTTATCCTTTTATGATGCGAGCATTGAGAATAATTGTTAGTATGAACTTTTCTAGAATCGAAGATTCAATTAGATTTCCGGTTACACAAACGTTTTACATTTTCTGAACCAATGACAAATGGCTTTTGCTCATGGACCTTATCAGCTGCCTCAACGCTTTGCCTAAATGATTTTCTATATAATTTTCATAAAACAAGCACAAAGACGAAGCAAAGCCTCTGTGCAATCCGGCTGCCAGCGACATCTAGTACTGTTTGGTCTCAAATGTTTAGCCGCCTTTTTCAGTTTATAAGTAGTGTGTGTGTGTTCGTCACAGCACTTAACTAATACAAGAACGACTAGTTTTATCGAACAAATTTCTATTCTAATGTGGAAAGTTGTGCACGGGCACGCGTCCACACCCAAGTCCTCCAGAAAACTAGCTTCCTCTCAAAGCCTTAATTGAACGGCAGCTACGGTACAGTATTGCAACCATCTGAGTTTTCTTCTTCTTTTTTTTTTATTGTCTTTCACAACTCATCAGCCGAGAGATATTAAGCTTGTTAACTGTGAGTAATACACATTAGATTAAGTTCTGCCCGTTTACTTGTATTCCGGTTAAGTATGCCGATAATGACTTCAAAAAATGATGTGGAATGCAAGCTTGTTCTTAAGTGTTTTCCCGTCCACGCTAACTGAAGAGGCTAAGCCAATTAGTTGAATATTAAAAATCTCTTCCTTAGGGTCGCGTTTATATTAAAAACATAATAAACTCTTCATTGCATAATCATGCGTGTCCTGTCAAGGTTACATATTAACTATGCTTCTGCTCGGAATTTATTAGGTCATGCTATAAGTAGACTATTTGTTGTATATACAATATTAAATGCTCCGTATAGCGGAAACTGTCCACATCAACGACGGCATCAATAATTATACAATGGTATGTCGATGCATCGTTTACATCATGTTAAGCTGTATTACGCTTTTTTAATGCGAAAAGAGCAAAGAAATATCAGAATATTCTTCTTGTTTCGGCTAAAAATGTACAAGTTCACAACTATTTTGCATTTCTTAAAGCAATCATTAGCTAGCAATCGCTACTACCCTACCTATCGAGTCATTCATTCATTAATTATGGAGAGACACTGACTCGCATTGATATATTGCCACCATTAATAGCTTTGGCTAAAAGGAGTTTTGCCGGTATATGAGATCTTTGTGTCCTTAACACATTAACTTATGCTTTAACAATTTTCGCAAAACTAGTTATATGCACTATCCAAGCAAGACCACTACCATAAGAATTTGAATATAAAAAATATGAAAAATCAAAAACAAAATCATGGAAAAACTTTTTAAATTTCGAAAAATTAACTTTCCTCTCACGTAAGTCTGTCTGTGCGGCCTATTTCAGGCAAACTTTGATCCCCTATATTAGATAGTGGCATGACGGGAACTTGTTATACCCTACACTACTTTTGCTACAAGGTACATATGACTTATGCGAGTGTATGTAGCACGCGAAATGACCTAAGAAGCAATTTGATTACAACGATCGGTTCAAAATCAGTTTCTATATCGATTTAAACTGCCTTTTACGTCCCCACATCTAATGTCTATTGTCTTTTTTGAGATATTGTCTCTGATTCGGTATATTTCGGTATATTTTTCTCATTTCACTTAGATTACGCATGAGTGGGAATTTTTTAGGAACATATCTATCGTGCAAAAAGAGAGTTAGGTGTATACTATATTTTTATTATACTATACTTTTATTATTATTCTGTCCTTCAAAAATTAAAAATTATTCAGCAGCTTTTTTTCCCGAAATTGTTGCAATCTGTTACCTTTAGTAAATAACTAAGAAATTTCAGATTTCTATCGTGACTTTTGCTGCTCACATTAACTAATTGTTTAAATTAACCAAAGCTATTGAATTGATCAATAAACGTAGCCAAATCGATTTCGGCTTTCATCCTTGCCGTATGTATGCCTATTATCTCCAAAACGCATTGGTAGGTCCCTACTACTCGATGATGGGTAAAAATAAAAATAAAATTCTAAAAATATATACAATATACGTATGTATGTATATATTTATAATTTATCAAAAATATTCGATATGAATAGAGTTTTAAGTAGACATATTGCTCTTCATTTCAGCCATAATAATATTGTATCGTTCCAAATGAAACTAAAAACAACATTTACATAAATATGTTCATGTTTATGGGTGTGTGTATTACACTTGTATAAATATGCATTTAGTAGTAGTGCAAGTGTTTTAAGAAGATAAAATAAATATTCCTTTCAAATATTGATGTTGAACTAAAAATAACTTCATTATATATGTGCATGTATGTATGTATGTATGTATGTATGTATGTTTTTCTTACCCATATGCATAAACAAAATCACTATTGAGTTATTTTTATTACGTTTTGTAAATTTACACAGCATATGTGTTATGCATATACAGATATATGTATGTACAGATATAGAGATTTTTTTTTTGGGCAACGCAAGGACTAAATTCTATTTGTAGCAACTTAAGGACTGCAATCTTTGTATCCATGTATTCATATATATATATATATATATATATATATATATATATATATATATATATTGAAATGTTCTTGCTCTAAGCGACTGTTATGGTTTTGATCGTCTTTCTTTTTGTCTCGCATTTAAAAGCATAGAGGGCGATATATATATATATATATATATATATATATATATATATATGTAGAAAGAAAATGACTTCCATACCATCTGAAACACCCGGATATAGGTATCAAATCAATTTGCATTTTTGGAAAATATACTACAAGATTATTCCATCTGATTGGTCAACTAGGACGTAGAGCCAGAGCATATGAGGGTGAATGTTATTTCGCCACAAATTTGTGTATATACAACTATACTATAGAATATAATTACTTCGCCACTTTCTAATAAGTACAGCGGTGGCTTAGTCTATTTTTCGTAGCCTAAGCGAAATATGGCACCGATGGCCTTGAGCGACCTTTCCTGCAAAGCTTTAACATTAATTCGAACATTTTCTTGTCTCAATGATAATTCTATTATATTTCCAGGACAGAAACAGAAAAAAAAGTCGGACGCGATTTTACCAGATGCATGTACTCTGTCATGCTTCAATCATAGCAAGATGGACGTCTACCTCTTTTAGAGAAATTCCCAAAATCATTTTAAGAGAATCAATTCGTACTCGCTAGCGGCAAATTAAGCATCAAACTTTTACTTTCAAATGCCTTACATTGCTAATCATATGTTTGTGCTTTAGAAATAATGTTTGCTTGAGGTTTTATGCCGCATCTCGGGCGGTTCAACACATTATATATATATATATATATATATATATATATATATATATATATATTTTTAAAGAACACAAAGAGAAGTGCATTGAAAAAATCAAAGGTAATTCTAAATTAATTAATAAGCGTTAGCTTTGAAAAAATGTAAGAGAGTTTACATTTAAATTAGCCTCAGGTTAAGCGAAAAAGTTGATAGCGACACCTTTTACGTACGCCTTTCAATTAACATATTCCGAGTGTATATGAATTGAAAATATTTCAGAATTGTAGCCGACTGAGGGCTCCTTCTTTTAACTTATTCTTATTGTCTAGTGCGAAATCTTTTGTATTGATTGCTGCTGTCAACTAATCGAATAAAATATGATAAGCTCAACAGCAAGCTTGCTATGATATGATCATGCGAATTTAATTTCATTTAGTTGAAACACGATGCAAAGACGCGTGTTGGCTTCGCTGAGATTACCGTTGTCCTTTCGAGTTTTCATATAATTCTCACAAGTGACTCATCGACACAGGTTATGTGGCAGGCCACGCTACTCGCCTTCGGCTTTATCCCACATTGCGAGCAGTTCCTGAGAATAGTCAATCAGCAGATAAGTAAGACCCTATCGCATATACCCTAATAAATATTTGTCATGATTAGATTTCAGTGTCTTAATGCCATGAAAGCTACACTGTCCGCACCACAATTTGCAAAACTTTGACTTAAGCGAAAGTTTACATATTTTCTACTGCCAAAATGTTTGTAACGGCTTGTGTATTTCAAGACGCAGGTGCAGTCGGTTAATTATTGCTCGTCGCTTCGGATATAAATGCCTTCACATAATTCCACAAAAAACAGAACGAAACAAAAGCCCAATATTAGTTAAGATCAATTTCTATTTTAATTAATAAATTTATTGCGATTATCTTCGCAATACGTTGCCAAAAGACTAAGAGGGCACTTCTCGATGTTAGCCGGAAGGAGCTGCCCTTACTGTCGCTTTTGAGTTAGGTAATCGATAGGGAACTTAAATAGGTTTCCGTAAGGCCTGCTTTCTAGACATGAAATGGTCTTAATAGTAAATGGCAAAGAGTATGTGACTCAGACCGAACATAATTTTTTTGTCTTAATTTTCTTTTACTTTTTCCCTCTCCTTTTTCGTTCGAAAAACTCATCTAGTATTGGGGGAGACATTCGCCTTGAACTACTATGAAACGTAATGACGCTTATGGGCTATTGTAAAATTATGACAATTACAAGCATTGAAGCATGTGAAAAGTAATTCGGTTGCGCTTGCACTTGCATTTGTAAGCATTTTTCTAGTTGACTTTATACGTAATGCATTGATGCATGTACATGTTTGTATCTCTTACGCTTACAGATTCCCCCTTATATATATATATATATATATATATGTAAATATATAAATATATAAAAAATTTTATATGCATATATAGGTATGTATACTGTGTACGGGTGTGCATTTCTCACTCATCCCAAATGAGATCTCAAGTGTTTTGGCGCGTTTAATCTGGGCTACGTAATATTGACTTTTCTGATTTCTTCTCACGTGAATGACGAGTAACTTTGCGGGAGGTTAGTATATAATACAATAATATAAAATATATACAAAAACTTTGCTTCTTTATACATTAGCTGTTAAAGGTGAAATTCTAGAAATGAATTGTATTATATATCTCTTGCTTTTAGAGAAGCAAGGCTCTTGTAGGTCATAAACATTGCTCTTTATACGTTTCATGCTTGACAGTTTATATGCTTTAGTCAACTTGTTAATTGTTTTGTAGATAATTCAAATGACTAGAAGAGGTCGTTACTGGTGGAAAAGTATGGACAGTCGATAAAGACAAGAGGGATCGCTAAATCAATAACAAACATTCATGAATATGCAGGAAAGCATAGATCTCTTAACCAACATGTTGTAAATATTGCAGTCTTTAGTTAGTAAGTTTCGATTTCATGGTAATCTAATCTTTGAGCCTCATTTTCTTTCAAGCTATTTCCGCCTTTCTTCTCTAAGATTGGTACAAGTAAACTTTGCTCATTTCGAAATCTTGTAGTGATCCTAGCAGAGGCTATATAATTAAGCAAAAGTCGAGAGAGATGAGGGAAAAAGATTTCATCAGATAACAGTTAATCACAGCTGTCGACCAGATTTGATGGGAAGGCGTTCATTAAAATCTATAAAACTGGTTTAAAGTCGAGCCAATTAACGGGGGAGAGAACGAGGAAGAAAGAGAATCTGATAAACGTGCGAGGCTCCCTAACATTACACTTCGTTGCTAGCCGTCCACGTTCGAACTTATACTTGCTTACGATCTTAGTTTGCATTTTCATTACATATCGGAAAGATGGCATTCAAAATCGAGGACTCGGAGAATTCAAAATGAAAGAAAAAAATAAGGAAATTGTATGTTTGGCCAAATTTCAGAAAAAAAAGTGACATTTCGATATTGTACGATGATGAGTGGGCGCTCCGCCTCTTTGAATATTTTTCTCTTCATATCTATTTTCAGATATGTGAACAGTGGGTATCAAAATGAATTTAGCTTCACAAAAGCAAGATGTTTTCAGTTACTATGTAGTGTGGTCGTCGCTGTTGTTTAATTTTCCGATTTTCGATATAAATGTGTCTGCGAAAGCTTCTAATATTTGCGTCTTCATATCTTCGTATTTGCGGTCAGGGGAATGCTTACCGCGTACATCCACAGAGAGTGAAACACGAAGGGACAGATATGTCTAGATGGGCTTAGGTTTTAATACGATTCAAACACATATATACTTTGGAGGGTCCCTGAGCTTTCTTACCGTGTGTTGAAAACGTTTTCACTAACTGAGTGCATTGTCTATCTTCGGTTGTGAGTATAAAAATATAGGAAGTTCTCTTTTCTTCTTTTACACATACATACATACACACACACACGCACACACACACAGTGTCTTGAACTGCTAATACATTGTCCATACCGCATACGAAGGCCATTATTTACATGGACAAATTTTTCGTCCTGCAGATTTTATGTGAAAAAGAAGAAAATCTATTTACGAATTATTTGCCGGAACTTATATTAATTTATAAGGCTTTAATTCTCGTTCTGGTCTCGTCCGTTTAGATATTGGCATTCAACTCCCCTGACGCGATCCTCACGACTCACTTTTCGACTCACTTTGCTTTCCGCAAATATTCTGGTTTTACATCTTTTTACAAGCAAGCTACATGACACAGGTATCGCACCGTGCACGTGTGTCTGCTTTTCATCTCCCGTAGAATTTAGTTTCTTAGATAATCGACTAATTCGCATGAAAACTCAAGTCATGTAACAACATAAACTGTTGGACTGCTTGAAAACACACAATCACATAATTTTATCATCTCTTTATAGGAACGTGAAAAATAAGGCGAAATCGCTTATCTATCTTACAAACGCAAGTCTTCACCTCATATATCTTGTAACGTTTATACCCTAAAGCACTTGTTGTATAAGGTATTTTAAGCTTATCCCAATGTATGAAATGTTAAAAACGACTTCACATCTATAAATCAATATCAAAAGTGAGCTAAATCTGGCCAACTATTTATTGCCCATTACCTAAAACATAAACATACATAAAACAGAGTACAAATGTGTAATGATCTCCGATTTAATAAGAAATCCGCGAATTATCGCAATTTCTGAGTATTTGAAAACCAGAGAAGGCCAAATGAGCAGAACTACATACTCATAGGTATTTCTGGGGGAAGCGAAACTGATACTTACATAATACTCTTCTCAAGCACTGTCTTGAACAAGCACCTTAGGATGCGTTTCTTTCATGTGTCGACCAATTCGAAACCCATAATTAGATGGGTCTTACAAACAAATATATGCATACACCGTATATCAAATCCTTTTCGAATAAAACCTTTAAAAAATATCCATCCCATCTATCGACAAGTTCTACGTAAAAATCGGAGAAATCGAAGAAGGAAAATAGTTAGCAAAGTTTTGATAAGCTAACAGTGAGGTTAAATTTGATCCCTGTAATTGTTAAATGCGGCTCTGCTAGCGCATGATTGCGTGATATGCGTGCGATGTTTAACCCTAGCTAGACCCCTAACTGTCATCCTATGAGGTTCACTGCATTGATACGTGGCGCTGTGATTATATACTCTCTACATGGCGACGCATTATTTAGAGCGTGTAAGTCAGAGAATTCAGAAATGTAAAGAGGGTAAGCCCAACTTTTAATCATTTAGATCCGGCTTTCAGAGGCCCGCTACAAAAGCTATTCACACGTAGGTCGCGTATTGGATAAGTTCTAATAGGTTTATGTGAAGTCAAAAAATCAAATACTTTCTATCCGGATAAGATTGGATAAGCTTGGCCGATTTTTTATTTTATTTTTGTAGAATAAAAGTCGAAATGTGCACAAGGTGTCGACTATAGTTTATGAGTAACGAGGCATTTCCAAATTCCTTTGCTCAATCAATTTAAAGGCGAACGGAAGCCTATTTATCTTAGACATAGCGCAATTGGGCAGTCGAACAGATTGACAGACAAAGATGCGGACTTTATGGGTTCTCTAAACTTTCAACATATTCCCTACCAACATACCCGGAAAAATTTTCAATGTTTCCACGAAATTTGAAGTGAGAACGATCTTTACAAACGGTATCACTCAGACGGTCAAATGCCAAAATCGATTCAGAATGTGATGCAGATCGAGGATATATATAGTTAATGGAGTCTACTGAGTATTGCAAGCATTTTGACAAAATACTTTGGTGATGGGTGCAAAAATGGGTCGAAATTTGTGATGTCTTCACTGTCCTCTATCGTTATTTCATATAAGAGCAGAAAAAAAAAAAAAGGGGGGGGGGGGGGGGGGGGGAATAAGACAGACGCCCATTGTACCGGGCGTGCGTACGCATGAGCAAAAGAAATAACAGTACATATGCATTTCAGAAAAGATGAGTTTAAGTGCGTTAAAGTGTCGCAATAATTTTGGGCTTTTAAAGAACTTTGCAATTTTACATCTGTTCGGTTTATTACGTTAAAATATTACTTAAAAAATCTCCATAAATTACTTTGTATTACAAAAAATATTCTTCAAGATTCATAAACTTTAAAGTGTGGGAAAAGAATTTTCATGATTTTAATGAAAAGCATATATATATACATGTATATATATAGCATAATACATATAGTATAGCATGTATAGCATAGCAGATATAGCATAACACATATAGTATAGGATATATAGCACAGCATATATCGCATATATATTGATATGTATATAGGAAAAACAAATCTCCGCTTTGCTTATATACATTAAGTGTACATAAATAAGCATTTGCTTGTACATGCATTTTTCGAAAGGATACAATGCAGCGTCTAATTGACAGGCTTAATACGCCCTTAAGAAGGCAAACTCAAGTGCAGCAACCACGAAAACATATGCGTACTATGCCCTATGTATTTAAGCAAACAAGTACATCATCATAAACATATTTATTTGTATTTACATATATATCATATTATATTATATATATATTTACATACACACATACTTACACTTATATCAGTTCATGCCTGCCTCATAACGTAGCTCATTTAGAAGTGTTAAAAGAACATTTTCTCGGTTATAAGAAAGAGCACAGATTGTTGCTCTCTATTGACAAACATAAAGGTCTTCAAAAAAAAAAAAAAAAAAATTAAAAAATAAAATCGAAGCCTCATAAAAACTTTATAGGGAGACAGGATGAACAAAATATATATAAAAAAATAAATACATAAATATATATATATATATATATATATATATATGTATGCATGCATGTATGATATATATGTGAATGTAGGTGCTAATATAGGTGTGGCCGTGGAAGAGTACAAACTCGTTCCTTCTAAAAAGATGAGATTATCGAACCTACAAATCCGAAGGAAATTTTGATGTAAACAGAACTTTCTTAAAAATTACTTTAAGAGCATTTTGGAAACTTGCAGAAACGGCAGGAGAACGTTGTCTGCCAGCTTGATATGATCTACGAATGCAATCGAAACACCCTTTTAAGACCTCTCTGGCGCTCTCGGGCATTTCTGTTGACCACTTCCATTGTGACATCATCCCAAAGGCAATGTCGCCAAAGACAATGTTGTTCTTTGCTTTTCGAAGTCGTCCTAATTGGCACTTGATTCATTTCATATCACTTGCTACAGACTGGCTGTTGGCGTGCGTCGTAAGTATGAAAAAATCCCGCAAGAAGAAAAAAGGAAACAAGGATTTATTGATATCACTTTTCGAATTTCGAATTTAGAACTGACTCGTTCGTCATATGCATCACGATGGGGCTTAATAATTTTTATAATACTTAATGTGTATTAAACTGAGTATCCAAGTTATAAATCTACTCGAGATTACAACAATGCAAACGCGATAAAGCGAGGCGCATATGTTCGCCTTAAATACATCAATAACGGTATTTAATAACTATTGAGTATGCAGCTCGGCAGATATTGCTTAAAATGCTGTTGTACACATATAAGTATCCCACATATAGCATATGTTGCATATATTGAACAATTCCCATGAAGCTAAAAATAAACAACTCTTGAACATTTTAAAATGAAATATTTCCACAGTCATCGAAAAAGAGGAAAAGAAAAAAAAAAAAAAACGAAAAAACAAAAAACACAATCGAAACATGAAAATTCTTTGCAAGCATATTTTTAACATTAAATGATGAAAATATAATTAATGCATATGCTGTCGTTGGCGGCTCGCCATTTCGGGAATAGCTGAGTAGGCAATAAAGTGACATTAAATTACAATCGCTTTACACTAATTATAAGACTTTGCTCGAGTCTTTTCTCTAACCTAGACCTGACCCACACAAGGCGAATAAAATTTCAATTTTGAAATTTTACGACTTACATTGAATTGATTCAAATCGCTGCTAGCCTTTTACAAGTGACAAGTTTACATAACAGTTGAATATAAATACTTTTCACGTGACTTAAATTGAATTCGAATGCAACAAGACTTACCTCACCAGGCTACATTCACTCATAATTATTGATTGATAGGCAGACAATTCTTGGCTTGCCTGGTCTTCTCTTCGCTCTTCAAATTGTTGTTGTTACAAATAGAACAATTTAATTAGCATACTCGGCATGTGACGGCTACAAAAACACATGGTTCTGTAGTTCAAGTACGGTCTTGTGTGCAATGCGTTTTACACACGCAACTTTGCTATCGCCGCAATTTAGGTGGGCACGGACATGGCTTCAGGGATTGAAAGGAACGCAAAGGAATGTTTACACCCGAGCTATTTTTAGTTTTGATCGCATTTGAAGTAAATTAATTCATTTATACGCATGCGTTACGGTATACGTCAAATGCAATTAAGGCTTGGAAGGAATTCATGAAAATAATTTTACGAAAGCTGAGATAATTGATGCAAAAGCCCGGAATTACTCTACCGTCGTGTTCATCATGGCAATTGGGGAGGTGAACAAGATAGTGCTTGAATGAGCCTCAGGATACCACGCGCACAACGCCGCATTGCTCTTAAGAAGCCCTACAATCACAATATATCCGTCACTACCGCCGACTCGAATTAAAAAAATCAATTTTTCATTTGTCCAGGCCATTCATTAAAGGAACTGCGAATAGGATTTTGGGAAATTTTTGAATAATTTACAAGCATCGTTGAAACATGAACTCTGATAAACGGCCTATGGAAACCATTAGAGTTCTGATAGCTCTATAATTAATGATATGACTTGAAAAGAAATCAACGGACAAAGAGAACGGAAGGAGATCTATGAAGGGATCCTACATTGCAACGTAGCACAACGTGATACGCCAAAGTCAGAAAAGAACGAACCACTTTGCTCTGCTAGCGTTTCGTATAAGACTTGACGACACCTGTGACGTAGGCAAATAAGTCTCAAACTGCATCGAGCATTATGTTAGGCAATTGGAGGAATCGTTTGATTCCAGCCTTGCCTAGCAATTATTGCAAGCGTAAAGCCTTCTAAGTCTAAATATAACTGTAAATGTGTTTTTAAATTTTTATGCTCACCTTAAGAAACAAGACAGAGATAGAGAGAGAGAGAGATAGAGAGAGAGAGAGATAGAGAGAGAGAGAGAGAGAGAGAGAGGGAGAGTTACATTCGCTTTTTCCCTTGCAGCAGTGAAGACACTCACACTCACTGCACATATCCTTGCCTGCGACATAAATTTCTCCTTCCCCTGTCTTATCAACTAATCACCATTGCTGTCGATATACTTATCATAATTTGATCGAGAATTTTATCGTTCCTCCAAAAGCTAGCACATAGGAACCGCTCTTGCATGGGGGAAACATTATTATGTATATGAAAAAAAAAACAAAAAAAAAAACTCTGGCCAAACATATATAAACTCAATAATCACTGTGTATGTGTATGTTAAAGGCTAACTCGCATGCTATTTGTGAAGCTTTAATCGAAATGCATTTAAAGTGTTTCGGAAATATGTTCTCAAATCTCTTTCGGAAGGGAAAATCCAATGATGCATGCGCCTAGATGTGGCAACAATTGCACACTAGCCGCTAACGTACATTGTTTGCGGCTAACGTTAATATCGCGACCCGGACAATGATAATAATATAATTTTGATCAAATGATGTACGTGAAAATACTGTACATGTGTGCGAGCATGAAAATGAAAATAAAAATAAAAATAAACCGTGGAGAGTATAAGACGAACGTGATATGAAAATGATTTTCTTCCAACTACGATGAAGTTGGAATCAAATATTTACACTTGTCTACGCGCCAGTATTGAATGCAGAATGTCGAGTGGTGTGCAGCGGCATTTTAAAAATAAATCAATTTCTTTAATATGAAGAGAGAGTGAGAGAGAAAAAAATTGAAATTTTTAAGCGGGAAATTTCTACGTTTGAACATATGTGCGCTACAGAACTGAGTATAAGAATAAAACCGCAAGAGTTCCAAAGATCATAATAAAACCTAAAGTGAAGGAGTAAACAACAAGTCACGGATAACAACAACAACAACAATAACAATTGCAATAGCAATAGCAATAGCAACAGCAATATTAACAGCATAAGCAACAACAACAATATAAAAAAAGAAAACAGAAAAGAAAAATTCATACAATTTCTATATATATATATATATATATATATATATATATATATATATTTTATTTTTTTTGTTAAATCTATTCAAAAATATTGAAGAAAAAATATTGAAAATATTGGAAATATTTTTCTTTTTTGAAAATTTCTATCAATGGGTATCATGTATAAATTAATGAAACAACGCAAAGAGTTGAAAAATGAAAATCGACGCATGCTAACAATGGATGGGAATATCATTGAGCGTACAGACGTGATGGCCAATGAGACGGAAGACAAACACTTTACAGCCGAACACATTTTACAATTGTGTAAATTTCTAGCAGAGAAATCTAAAACGAATGTAAATAAAGTTTTATCGATTTTCTATTTAAATATGAAATTAATGAAAATAAAAATTTTGCAGAAGAATTTACATAAACAACAACAGACTCCGAAAAAGTTTAAACAAAAATATCAAGAAAATCGTTTAAGTGAAAAAAATGTGATACAGCCACGTGAAGGGCATAATAATAATAATAATAATAATAATAGTAATAGCGATAGTTATTATATACAACAACAACAGCAACAACAACAACATGAACAACCGGCAGAACATCAAAGATACCAACTTCAATTTCAGCAGCAGCAGCAGCACGAGCAACAGCAACAGCAAAAGCAACAAGAGCAACAACAACATCAACAAAATATGAGAGATGATATTAAAGCACTTAGTCACCAGGAGGAGGTTCACGCACCGCATACAGTATTAGTAACGGATTTAAGTAAAGATTTTTATCATGTATCAGCAAATACGAACCACACTTGCTGTCGGCCATTGCAACAGCATAAGCGTGGCAAACATGGTGATATACTATTAAAAATACGTCATCAAATATTTGAACGCAAACGTTTAAGAGAACAACATTTTGTTATGCCTTTAGATAACACCGCTCAGGTTTGGCGGCCCTGGTAATATTCAGAATCGCTATAACCAACAGTTTCAGAAACTTTGACTTAGCCATACTTTTATGAATCCGTCAATCAGTTCGTTAATTATGGTATGCGACCCATTTTGATTGATGGATGAGTTCATCTGAAACTTTGGATCGCTTCGCAAACGATCTCATCATATTGTGAGTTACAGTAGGTAATCTACTCAAAATTACCACAATGTACAGTTATTTAGCTTCCATTATTTATAAGCAGCAATAAAGATAAGTAAGAAAATTGATCTTCTTTAGCTTTAGATCGAATCTCAATTATTCTCTTAAAGCCCTGAGGTAAATAACAATTTGTGAATCGTTTTGAATATATGCTCATTATTGTTAGGTTTAATACTTTTTAGGCAACTTAGTATGCTATGATAACTATTTTTAGTTTTATGTTATCAAAAGTGTAAAGTAGTTTTTGCCGAATTTTTAGTAAAATTTAATTTACGCTAGAAAGAAACATTTTATGTGTCGTTAAGTACTACTTTTTCGATTATCTAAATGAATATGGAATTCCCCTAAGGAGGAAATAATTGATTTTTTATCTGAGTTCAATCGAGAAAATCTCGCATACGAATCGTGTAGAATGCAAGCACTGTTGACGCAGACGATATATAGCATGCATAGAAATTAATCTTGATCAGAAGCAGCAGGAGGGCATATAACTGGGCGGGATAATGCGTTTAAGCTGGAGTTTTGCAATATGAGATCGATGTCCATCATATACAGTGATGACTTCTGGTCATTTGCATCATTCATTTTTGACAGCCTGCCTCGGTAAAGAGTCTAATGCACGCCCTTAATAGGCGATCATGTTATCGCGTCAAGTACATAGCAAAATCGATCAAGCCTCTAGCATTGTCACACATGTTACATAAATGAAATGAATTTTTATCGGATTTCGATTTTTCTAGATCGCCAAGTGAACGAGTAAAGATCATTTTCCAAGTTGTTCTTGTTCTGAGTCTTTTTACAGCGGTTCGCAATTTCAAATAAGCACAGATGAGATAGCCTTTGGCGAACTACACTCTATAGAGATGTGCAAGCCACATATGAAAGCTTGAGAAAATTGTACGATTCGAATTTGCGTTCTTTCAAAATTTTTACTTCCATCAAACTATTTGCGATGCTATGCACATACACCAAGAACATGTCACAAAATTAACAGATCTTCTCTTTGCCCAACAAGACCTGCAATGTAATGACTACACTAAGTAACAAACTAAAGACAAACTATACGCAATCAGTAATCCAGTCATATCAAGCGTACTTGTCTCAAACGTTTTTTTTTTTTTTTTATAAAACAGAAAGAACTCATTAACTAACTCATAATATAATACAGTTGGTGGATGGTAAAGATAGGATAGACGAGGAGTTAATTATTTAGTTTATCGATTAAGCTTTTTAAGCGAAATTTAAGCGAGACCACAAATACGGCGGTATACGGTGGTATAAAGAGATGAGGAGCAGTTACACGCGAAAGTGGTCTCCTTCGCTCTTGTGAGTTTCTCAATCGGCGGTGTGTGTAGGCATTAGATGATGGACTCAAAGACAAATAATTTCACAAATTTCACAGATTTTTTGTTCTCAGCATTTCTTTTTCTTTTTTTGTTTTTGTTTTTCTTTTTTTTTTTTTTTTGTTTTCCTTTTATTGGCACTAAAATATTTCCATAGGGTTTTTGTTCTTTTTTCTTCTTGTTTCAACATCTCAATGCAATCGATGTCACTTTGTCAGTTTTTTGATTTTGATAACAAATACAATTTTTATACATACAACGTTACATACACAGATCAATAAATAGAGTTCGAATAAGAAGAAGATTTGTTAAGTTAATAGATGCAAGAGTTTTATTTATTTATTTATTTTATTTTTTATTTTTTTTTTTTTTAATTTTTTACCTTATTTTATATATATTTTTGATGTATTTTCCCATCACTTATAGAACATAATAAAAAAAAAGAAAATTAAAAACAAAAAAAAAATAAATAAAAATAAAAAATTTTAGAACAGTAAACATGAAAATAAAAGATTAGAAACTTTAAAGTCCGTGTGGTAAAATTATATATGTTTCCACAGAACTATATATAAATATATATATATATATATATATATATACGTATATAGATACAAACATCTGTACGAAAAAGAAAAAAAAAAAAAAGAAATAAAAATAAAATGTAAACAGGAAATTTATAAATAAATCTAAAGAAAGAAAAACAACAACAACAATAACATTACCAAAGTCAATATGTGTAATATTTTTAAGTTTAAAAAATCAAAAATAAAAAAGTAATGAAAAAAAAAAAAAACGCCAATAAACGACGAGAGAACGTAACAGTGTTAACGTTATACCGAATCTTGGACACCCTTCGCCCGAATTAATTGGTATTTAATCGTTTGTCTCATACCAAGTCAATAAACTGATCGGGAATATTTTCACAGCAGTCCTGGAAAGCTTCGTATCATTATTTACTCAAAGCTCAACTCAAAGGTTTTTGTGAAAAAGACGTAAGCAGAAAATTTCAGTTCTCTATGATCACTTTTGATTGCTAGCCCTAGATAATCTAATTTCGGTTACACTCACTCACTCACTTACTTACTTTATATAATTTACTTGATGTTGTTAGCATATATTATGAGGCATTAACGAAGGCCTTTAAAACTGAGTGAGTCCGTATCTCCCGATAGTGATTATAGTAAGCAAAATTCTATTATTTTCTCGTAACGAATCGTGGATGAGCAGCATTTTTATAAAAGTTTTTTTTTTTTTTTTTGTTAATTATGGGCGCGTAGATGCGAACATGAACATTCACATTTTTAAAAATCCGTCATAAATTTTGTCATTTTAGATAGACATTTATCCCATAAGTTATCCGCAATTTTTTCTTTTCTTATATTTCACCCTTTGTTTGTTTGATTGAACGCATCAAACTTTGCCTAATTAGTACTAATAAGAAGCTGCAACGAATTGAGGAAGATGCTACTATATATATGTATATAGCTGTTTGTACTTGTATTAGAGCGAGTTTTCATCTGGATAAAAATTCAAGAACCCTAACAGTGTTGTGGTGCTTTAGGCATTGCAACGTTCAATCAATCCGCTTCGTTTTTTGAATTGTTTCCCCACAGACAGGAAATTGTAAGATTTCGTTTAAAGAGACTTGAAGCAGTCGGATAATCGCATAGAAGAAGCCTCGTACCGGAAAGAGGAAGCTTCCGTCTCTGCCTTGTTATATATATATTGGCTTAGAAGGCTTCGAACAATGTTAAGACAATTGCAAGAGCTTCGTTTTTATAAAGATTCTCTTTATTCTCTCATCCAGTACTCAGTCACAATTATTATATTAATTAAGCATATAAATCGGATGTAACGTAATTTACGTATCCGTATAAAAATCCTAAATAAATCCCAAGTCAGTGAGCACTGAACTGACTGGTAACTCAAATAACCGTAACTAAGATGGGTACGCTGCTTGAGCTTTCCTAAGGATAGACGGACATAGAAACAGGAAGGGTTATGACCGATGACGGGTTGCCATTGAAGAGATTTGATAAGTGACTCAATTTGACCCAACCAATAACGCCATAAGTGGTGGAGTGAGAACTGCTGCTTGAACTTACCTGAGGACAGACGGACATACAAACGAAAAGTGCTATGACCGATGAAGGGTTGCCATTAAATACATTTGATAAGTGACCCACAACGCAACCAATAAAAGCCTTCAGTGGTGGAGTTAGAATAAAAATAAAAAAATAAAAAAAAAATAAAAAAAAAATAAAAGAAATAATGGAAAATTAAAAGTCCTTTTCGAAAGAAGTTGTAGCAATCCCGCTGTCAGCATACAAGCTTGGATTTAGTTTCTTTAGACGTACATCAAGTGAAAGCATTTCGTTTAATTAAGGAGTTTGGTTTTCTTTTGTTTTTGTTTTTTTTTTTTTTTGTTTTTTGTTGATTAAATTTCTTATTGATGTCATATCATAATTTTCATAGTTTGCAGTGTGTTTTGTTAGCTCGTTTAAGCTTTAAGTAAAGAGTAAAATTTCAATCGAGCTTTCTATTTTTTATTTTATTTTTAGACATATTACGCTTCCGTTTTGCATATATTTTTTAATATTATTTTTTTGTTTTTTTAATTTGTATTTTTATTTATTTATTTATTTATTTATTTTTTTTTTTTTCTATATCTTGTAAATGGTTTGTCTCTGGAATACTGTTTACTTGCTTCATCTTACGCCTTATATGTATGTACTATTGTGTAGTTTTTGTTACTTCATTAATATTATTGTTTTGCTTTAGGTACTCATTTTTACGGTGTCTCTCTTCTTACTTCTTGACTTTCACTTCTTATTAGTTTTTCTTTTTCTTTTTAATATCTAATTAACAATAAATTTTTTTTTTTTTTTTAATTTGTCTTCTTTTTTCTGCTTTTATCTCTTTTAACAATTTCTAGGAATTTTGTCTCGCTAATAATTACTTTCAATTTCAATTTCTTTTTCAATTTCTTCTATTTTTGATCTTCTTATATCCATCATCGTAAGATAGAAGTATAACGAATATGTCAGTCTATTTATATCCCTAACAAGCTTAAATCTAAATAAGTTTACAGATATTTGATTAAATGAAAACTTGAAAAATTTTTCTTGAATCGGTCGTTCGGTTGCCGGCCGAGCTCTTAAGTTCACTGGACTTGAGATAGAGAGCAAAAATTAAATGCAGATAGAGGATCGACGTGCGACTCTTGCACACCTCTACAACTAAAGAGTCAAACAGCAATGTGAACCGATTTTCAATAAAAATACTTTGCGACCATTGCGACCACCATATCTTCGATTTGAAGAAAACAGGGATCATAGCTACTTACTCAGTGCGCTCCCTTACATTTGCCGAAAAATTTCGTACAAACCTTCAGTGCGTATCACAATTACAAATATTTTGTATTATTTTTCCCAATGATAGCTAAAAATACAAAAAAAAAAAAAAAAAAAAAAAATTATACTATGGCATAAACTATTCTAAGAGAAAGAAAAAAGAAACATGAAACTCGTCTTCGAATAATTGACATCTAGTCTTGTCTTAGTATGCTTTCAAAATTCTCCCATTATGAGAAAGATGCAAAACTGCAGTGAGATGCTATTCGTGGGAATCGTGCAATCCTTTTTATAATCATTTGCATGGGCTGGACAAATGCATATGTCGTGTTCTTTGTTTTCGCAAAACATTTCCTAGACGATGTTATCAATCTGACTCCAAATATATGGAGCCATGAGTAAGGCCTGTCGTTATACATCTTCATTATTTCTATAGGCCAAGCAACCGGTTGATATGCACCTCTACAGCCAAGCTTATGGAACATGCAGACATGCAGTCTTTGCTTTCAATGCTTTTCTCTCCTATCCCACGAAATATACGTATGTTCATAAATGTCTCCCATTTTCCTTAATTTGAGATTTGAGATTTAAAGCTTTTGCATTAACTTTACTTTTCTTCCCCGTTCTACGCTTATAGCAAAATTCATATCAACGCTAGCTTCCGTTTTAGTAATAGTTGTGCAATTGAAAATCTTTTGCTGTCAACGAAGTGATGATCAATCGAGACTGTTAACCCTTAAATGCATACTGTTGCCAATTGTCTACATTCCACTTTAACTTAATTTTAAAATTACGTTTATAGCATTGAGCGGCTCTGTCATATCTGACGTATGTGTTAAATAATTGGATTTGTTCAGGATGAGATATCTTACAGTTAATAAAGGTAGCCCTTAGTGAATAACTCTATCCCAGGAGATTTATGAATGAATATAGGGAAAAGATAGACGATAAGGTATTCAACAAATTTGTTAACAGCCGCTCTAATATAAAGCTATCAGGATTGTATCAGGATTGCTCATTAAGAAGAAGAAGAAGATAAAAATTCTATCTTAAGTTGATGGATATCGAAAATTCGCTTCAGGCCGAATATGCTCGTAATCATTCTTTTGTTCCATGAGTTTTCGGAAACAACAGATAATTACAGTTTCTTTTCTTTTTTTCTTTTTCTTTTTTCTTTTTTTTTTTTTCTTATAACATTCATTTACAGTCAAAACGGTTTTGAAAAGCATAATGAAAGTGTAATTTTATATTTAAATAATAATAACTTTTTTCCTATAGAATTGAGCAATTTTAGTTTATAACTTAATTAAACCATTACACGGTCATTAAATTTTTAATAAAAATAAAATTAAATATATATATTTTTTTTAATTCCCAAACTTTACATATACATAAATATACTTACAAATCTCTATATATATATATATATAAAATAAATATACATAGATATATTTATATATATGCATATAATTATATATATATATATATATATATATATATAGTATGTATATTTACATATATGTATATTTAGTTAAATTTTGAATTTTCTTCAAAACAATTTTATGCACTAACATCTTATCTTATCTAACAATGAACACAGATTTGTTTTTTTTTTTTTTTTTCTTTTTCTTTCATTTTTCATTTTTCTTTTCATTTTATATTTATTTTTCTAAGTATTTAAATTAGTCAAAGAAATATGTATGTAGGTATATATATATACATATATATATATATATATATATATATGTATAGATATTTGTTGAGAGAGAGAGAGAGAGAGAGAGTGAGAGAGGGAGGGTGAGGGAGAGAAAGAGAGTTATAGGTGTTATTGCATTAAATGCTACTGGAACGACCCATACCAGTGCAAACACCAGATGTGGTCGTTATATGATGATTACGCAAATTCAGTTTATCAAAATTGGCAAGAGGTGTTTGCTTGGCAGTTACCTGAAAGATCAAAATATCAGAAATATTTACTAGAAAATGAAACGGAATTCTTACGATTGTAACATAGGTAAGAAAATTATATTTGATTCGGTGACCGTATCTTTTATACCCACCACCGTGATCCTAAAAAGAAACTGAAAGAACTACATACTCTTCATACTCTGTTAATATTGGGCCGGCGTGGATGGTTGTTTCTATTTTCAGCATAAGTTGTCTTGGAAGTTTGCAGGCGACGTCTTCATTTTTGCAAACGAGAGAATGTTTGGCGCAGATGCTGCAAGGTTACGCAGCGGGCAGACGGGCAGATGAACAGACCGATTTGTTTAGGCGCATTCCGAATTTGGAACGATTCAAGCTTCACGATCTTTGAAGCTTTCTTCGCCGCATTGTAAAGGTTTTGAAAAAAATTACATTATGACAGACACACTATTAAATTGCGTAGGCGCGGTCCATTTTTTCCTTTTTTTTGAAGATACTACAGCATCGCTCATAGAATATATAATACACTCAGGTTTTCGTACATTTATCGGCTGTACTTGATAATGAGTAACGAAAAACAGAGCAGAGGTGTTCTCACTTTAGTGGTAACACTACCACGTCGGGCGTGTGTGCCTTGACCAATTCGCGTGCGGAAATTTTTGAATGTTTTTAGCCAAATTTTAAGTCTACAGCATCATCTTTCAGGGTCAGGTTAACATTTACAACGGACGGACACGGTTAAATTGCTACAGAATTTCATGTTGATCAACAACAAACCATATACATATCTTGGTGTCGCTGAAGCTTCGTTGTTGTGGATACTGCAAATGAATATTCCCCTCATCCTTCGGTGATGGGTATACAACAACAATTGAGGATTTTATATGGATAAGTTTTAGGCGAATTTTATTAATTACCACATCCACTTGATGACACAATTGAGTTTTGATCCAAGGCCATTTTACGGTTCTCATGAGTGTATTGCGGAAGTCTTCGCTAAATAAACAATAAATGTAAAATGTTATAGAATAGTTCGTCAGCTCCAAAAGATTAGCTAACGCTCGGAACACCTGAAAAAATTAAACACATTTATATATAAATTTCGCGTATACGCATTCACCTAACATCATGCCAACTTGAAATCTGCGACGTGTATGTCGCGACAAGAGTATTGAACTGGACTTGTATGATTTGATCGAATTTTTCATTTTTCTCGTCTTTCAATTCACTTCAATGCTAATTACAACCAAAGAATAATATGATAAGGCTTTGCAGAAAACTTCACATGCTGCGACCGCCTAAGCAGGTAAGGTCAACTTAACTTATCTATGAGGTCATTTCAAAGGGGCGTCCTCTCCATGCAAAAACAATTGGGCGCATGTAACGAGTTAGAGAATATTGTATCGAAAGATCCCGATTCGATTTCTTGCGCAGTAGAACATAAATTGTACCTGAGTGGAAATGTGTTGCAAATTCGCAAAATTCAAATACGTTTGTGATGGCAAATTATTTGACTTTGAATAAATGGCAGCATAGCCAGCACTTCGAGAGTGTTTCCAGTGTTTCAATTGAAAACATAAAACCTTTCGCTTTTTCGTATTTTAAGGTAGTTCTTGCAGCTTCCAATATTCGCATTATGTAATACATGCAAGTTATTTGGATTATGATTACAATTTTTTCTTTTATAAATTATACGAGAAGGTGTTCGTTTCGGATTTCATGACTTCATACGACAACCAGAATTTGTTAGAATTAAAAACTGAATGTTTCATGAGGTAGTTTGAGGGTCTGTGTGTGTGGAACAATCGCCAAAAACACTGAGAATACCACACTAAATAAAGTTCTAACGAAGATCGACATATCGATATATCATTTCAAGATTTGCTAATACATAATTTTAAATGTTGTCAACTTGGAGGTTCCAATGAGAACCCACAAACACAGAGGCATATCCAAGTTTACCCAAGACTACGCTTTGACTTTATGAATTATCCTTTTCCTTAGCCTAACGCCTGCTAGAAAAACGCAAACTTATCCTTCGTATTTTTTCTTAGTTAAGCTACAAAATGAATGATACTCTTGACCTGCCGCCCTTACTAGATACTTTAATATTGGTAAAGAAGCTTCATTTGTATAAAATTCAGCGAACATAGATTTTATTACAAGCTTTTCAATCTGTTTAGGGTTCTTTGCAAAAATCTAAACGATATTTATAATTCAGGTCGCATATCCGAGAATAATAATAACAATGAGCAATGAGCAGGAAAAACCTACATGTCAAGGAAGGCGGAGCAACGACAAGGACAAACATCTCCTCATGCAGTCTATTATGCAATGTTGTGCACAAGCTAGCAAGGAATCTATAAAGAGATTTATATTCTCAGGCGAAAACAACAAGTTTGACTAATGTATGCAGGAAATACGTATAGGGATGTTGGCAATGAAGCGGCTGAGGTAAGACTACTAGCGAGAGTTCTGCAACTTAACCAACTTTCAAGAATATATAGAGTTAACATGATTGAATAAAAGCGAGATGAGAGAATCGGAATAGCGCCTTAAACGAATTAAGCGTTAGAAGAAGGAAGCAGGAATAACAACAACAACAACAACAACAGAAGAAATTTGTAATAGTAGCGATGGAAGAAGAAATAAGAAATTTTCATCTGGCTTTGATCAGGTTTTTGGATACATCTGGCATCTTAAACTAATGCAGAGAAAATACAAAGTATTTCTTGATCGTGGACCATTGTTCGCTGTATAGCGAACTGGCGAAGATCTTTGCCACATTTCGAATCTATACTTTATTAAAGTTCTCTCTGCCCATGCGTTGCGTTTGCCTTGTAATCATTGTCGTGCAATTAAAGAAACAAAGTCGCAGCGTAATTGGCATAACGTATTCAGGGCATGCAAAGCATGCAAAGTGAGGAATAATTACCTGGAATGAAAAGATCGGCAACACTTCGGAGGCAATTGTCATATGTAATATAGCCATTGGTGAGACACAGGCTAAGAACAATATAGATGTACTTCCTGCAATATGATAATAACTTGAAAACAACAAAAATCGGTCGGTCATTAAGTCATTTCGCTTACCTAATAGTAAAAATAATCTCCTCTCTTCAGCAAACTTTCTAGGATCTTCGTCTTTGATGTATGAAGCCCGAGTCAAAATCATTTTACGTCTGCGTTCACAGGTCTTCCTATAGACCATCATGATGCGTAAATTAAGACCCGCTATCAGCACAGTCGGTATTAATTTAAATATCACTTCTAGCATTACTTTGTATATCTGGAGGATTGCAACGAAAAATTTTAATTATTATTTTTGATCTTTTGTTATAGTTTTTGCTTGCGCATCTGCGATACTTACAGAGTAAAAGATCGTTCGGAGGAAAACATTGTTGTCTCGCCGAAAATATACAAAATTTCCGTCGTTTTGTAAAATGCATTTAATTAATTCTCCGCGAAAAACGCTCGGCAGGTATATGATAAACGTCAGCACAGTGGTTAGGAAAACAGTTAATCTATGAAAATATCATAAAATTTCATAAACATTACATATGCGCGCGTATTTATCAAGTGCTTGCATCAATTTTGATCATAATGCATTTATTGAGGGAAATGAGTGCAATATATATATAGTGATCGAAATATCTCCCATTATTTTCCACGCGCAACATTTTCCCATCTTTTTGGCGTTTTCACCAACAATTGCCGCCGATCAAAATACATGCAAGTACCTATTATATAAATTAATCGTGACCGGTTAAATTCTGAATCGTTTTAAGAATATATTAAAATATACTTTATTCAAAGCATTGTTCATCGTTAGCCACCTATGCATCTCTTTGAGAGAAAATGAAATCTGGACCGAAAGAATAAATATTTTACTTTGCAATAATCCAAGTGAGTACTTGCGCTTAGGCGGGCAGGTCTAATGAATACAACGAGTATGTACAGTCATTACACTTCAGATGTGCTCTTGTTTTCTGAATGAGTTCTTGTTTTTTTCAATAAGACTTAGCATCTTTACGCTAAAAAAAATGAAGCGACGTTTGCGCCATTTTTTCTTTAACGAGCGATAAAATTTCATCGGTTGTTGATAGTAATCTACTTTGGCGATGGTTCGTTGGTTGGGCGGAAGCAACTTCAAATTTTCTGCACCCAACTAATCCCTACTAGAGGCTATATGCAAAAGTTATTCGATTTGATCAACATTATCGTTCCTTTTGCTCTTCCGGTGATAGGTGACTCGATCAAAACTCCAAAAAAGAATATGTTGTGCATGTTTCTCTCTACCTCAGAAAAACCGGTAACGACTTATTTATACACCTAGATATTTATGAATATAGAAGAGAAGAAATATTATTTTAAGCATACCCGGGAGGACCCATTACTGGTCTAGTAAAACTTGGATGACAAACGGAAACATAACGTTCTATAGTTAAAATTAATAGCATCATTACGCCCACACCTAAAAAGGGGGGGAAATGGTAAACGGAAATTTTTAAAAAAATAATAGTAAGGCAATCGTCGCTTACCTAAACAACCATTTCCTAGGAAAAGTTCTAAATGCGCGGTATAAAATGCAGGTCCGAACTCTTGCCATTGTCCGCGATCTTTGTGTACCAACATTCGAATACCGAAAGGTATGGCAAAGACAATCGCCAATAAAGCTGCTGTTGAATAAGCTGCAATGGAAAATTTGGAAAAAACAAAAACAACAAATTGTAATTATCTTGGGCCTAATCCTTGGATACGTACGTGCGTACGTTAACTAGTTTTATTTGTTGCTCACGTAACGTGAACAAAACAGTAGAGGTTTGCAAATTTACCATGCTATAGAAGTGCAAGAAGAAGCATTCTATTCAAATATTTCGCGTAACTGTTCTCAAAGCATGCCACACACATACATATGCATAACATGTATATGTACATATATACTTATGATAATATATCTTAATGAGAAGTAATATAATTATTATGAAATTTCGAAGGAGAATACAAAACAAGTAAGAAAATTATTTAAGGTGAGGACCGCAGCTCTTACACTCATCACCGCGATGTTAAAAAAAGTGCAAGAAGAACGGAAAGGCACTAAATTTTCATAATAGTGGGCAGGCGCGGCTGGAATTTTCTATTTCTAACACAACATTGTAAACTTGGAGGGTGTATGCGCTGGGCTTTATGAGTAGCAAGCAAAAAACACGGAGAGCAAAAGTATTCACAATGTTCGTTGGATAAGAATGTGGGCATTGTAGGCTCGCCCAGTTGCGATGCCCAAAGCCATTTCCATTTGATTATCCAAGAATTGTACTCTATATGCACTTTTGCTTCTTTTTTTGTTTTTTTTTTTTGTTTAATTCATTTAATCGGGATGGATGAGGCCTCGTTATGGTCCCCATTAGTTTGGTGGTTACAACCGGAGAACATCAAGTCTTGCCACCCCCTTTTTCCCCTCTATTGTTTCAAATGAATAGCGGGAAAAGGTAGTGAGCGATACATAATGGAAAGAAGAGAGAGATCGTCCCCGAAGCGGAATTGTTCAAAACCACTTGATTTTCGTTACACATTTTCAACATTTACATATGTTTGACGTCTCGAGATGTATTTCATCCTCAGTTATGTCCCATGTAAACGTCAAATATGAAATTTCAAAAATTTCTCAACTTTACTTTCCTTATAACTACAAGCAGATCTCGTTTAGTTAAAACTACAAAACAAAGATCTAACTGATCAATGATATATTTACTTACAGCGTTCTCGGCACTTGCCTTAAACATCATGGTGAACAGAATTATACCGTTGAGAAGGATCGATTTTTTAAATTCTAATATCTACATTTGTCAAATTGAGCTTAGAGTACAAAGAGAGAGATTTTTTTTACGTGTACTGAAAACAGTGCATGTAGCTGGGAATGTGTTTAATTGTTTTGAAGCTTGATTCTTATCAATAGTGCATGCTTGCATGGTTGTATGGCGAGAGACAAACGTTGGTTGCTAAATTGATTCCACTTATCATGTTTCTCGAAACTATATAAAGCTTACATTGTTGCATACTTCTTGACGTTGCAGACATGTAATGAATTTTATATAAAATCTCTTCCATATAATGAAGTTCTACTTGAATGACGCCGATTATTGTCTACACTACGTACATATTTGGATGCTTATGTCGACTCCTGGGGAAGAATACTTAGCAAAGACAATGAAATTTTTCATACGTATAGTCCGTTGCTCCCTTTCAAGGTGCATTCACTTGCACAGCATTACCTACGTAAGTTAAAACGTATACACAGGGTAACAAAAAATTATATGCATATACATGACCACATTAAACATTTATGTATGTAGCAGCCAACTAGTGGAGAATATTTAGTTGTTAGTGAATTCGGGATTTATTATATCTATATATATTAAAATAAGGGCTTGGTTGAGACGTCTCATCACCTTCCTTCTGAGGTCAGCGTTAATATGAGTAGAACACTAATCGATAAATAAAGTAGGGTGCAACAGCAGTGCTCCATGTTCGGAAAAACGCATGATTACTAAGACTACTCATAGCATAGTAGAAGATATCTCTAATCGAAGAACACGGGCGTAATAGAATTGATTTTTTTACCTATTACACGCAGACGTATGCATCAGAAATATCACTAATTATATAGCTATACTTCTTGATCAAGGTAAGATGCTGTGTAGACGTAATCGCGTTTGGTTTTTTTTTTTTTTTGGTCTTCTTAGGATGCCCACGAATTTAAAGAGCGGCGTAAAAGGTTAAGCTTTGACATACATATTTTATTCGATGGTCACAAGTGATCGATCTACGCTCGGAATAGATAAAAATACTTGTAGCCGATGGACATATGTGCTTAAAAACTGGTAGTTGAATGGCTCCTAGTTAACTGCGCTGCTTATGGTGTTATCAACTCCTTGAGATTCTATTACTTCTCATTTTAAAAATTTTCTTACCTATATTCGTTATTTAGTTGTCTCTGTCTCTCGTAAAACGAGCAACAGTAGCAACTAATCGAGTTCCTGGCAAACAATAACGTGACATAGGAACGTTTTGTGTAACACTAGTCAACGGATGATGCATTCACTTGCGCATAAGTGGCAAAAACTCTATTGTAAATATATAAAAAGATCAACGGTCACACCTTGTTTGCCTTTTTCTATATTATCGGGCCGTGCAAATAATGAGGTATAAAAGTTCGTACAACACGTACGTTCGTTTCATTCGTTTCACACGTTATCAGTAAAACCATCTATCCCTTGTTGCTATATACATATATAGTTAAGTTGAAATTATTTTTCGTGTCTACACGCAACGACTGTTTTGTCTAATGACTGTACCTGTAGGGAGGCAAACTATTCATATGCATTGCTTTGGTCGAAATATCCTTTCTCCTGTCTACACTCTGTCCTTTTTAGTTTAGTTAGCACCACTTGCATGGTTTGCGTCCAAGCTGAGTTTTACATTCATTGCTTTTAATAAATGATGCGGTTGCGAGGACAACCACATTGCATTTTACACATATGTTGTTTGGCGAGTGGAATTATGTACACAAACCATAATTTTCGTTATAATAGTAATGTCGTAAGAGAACAGTATTGCCATTTATAAAAATTTCCTTATGCTATTATTAGGTAACATAAATGCATCTCTAGATTATGGTTTATGTCTGAATGCTCGGTTTATGTCGAAGATGCGTATAATGTAATAAAAAGCGGTTGTCACGTTTATCAACAAATTTTTTATGGTTTCTTTTGTATGAAAACAAACAAATGAAAGCAAATTTGAGATCGATCGATACTACTGCCAAAGCTATTCAATAGCTTAGGGGAATGAAATTATCCCTCTTAGCTTCGCCTAAGCCAGTCATGTTTTTTATATCGACAATGCGCCTCTAGAATACTAGATGGCACACTGTTAAGTTATGTGAAGATAGGTGGAAATCATCGAATTTAACCGTTGTGTACATTGATACTTCGCATTACTCTATCATTTTCAGCTAAATGAGCTGGATGTTGCTGATCAAAATACATGCAAGCACATAAGATTTACTTTTGTTAAATTGTTTACATAGTTGTTGTCGCATAACCACAACTAAACCTTATGTAATGGCAAACGTAAATATAGGGCTTGCATGCTTTTAAAAGCTATTAGCTCGGTATGCGGTGGATGCATTCAAAATTCGAAGCCAAACTTTTATAAAATTTGTGGATTGAGATTATCGGGATAGAAGGCGAGGCCTTTCCTATCCAATGATCAACTCTGAATATTTTATTTTAATTACATGCTTTCGTCGAATTAATTGTTTAGAGCACAAAGTGGAATCAATTGCCTAGCGAAGTTGCGGCAGCCCATGATATGCAGTTTTTAATGCCATCAAATAATGGGCGCTACTTTACGTGTGGTCTTTCCTATCTAATCGTATCCAAGATCTTTTCGCGCACTCTTGTCGTGTATGTGATGCATGTTTTTCTTCGCCTATGGTCAGCCTATCCAAGTATCGTTGCTCTTCATTTCGCTTTAGCAGCGATTGGCAGACGGAAGTTCGGAGCTGTAGGACCTAGTGATAGTACGCGGAAAACTGAAGGAGCCAGCAGTACGGCGAGCTCGAGAAACATGGTTTCGCGGAAAATGCTTTTAAAGAAATCGTTTGTAAATTGTTTGGTAAATCCGAGTTTTCCGACCCCACAGGAAAATGCTTATATTACGGACGATGTAATGGATCGATGTGGCTGGTTGTCGAGACCAAGTTTATTATCGTGAAGAAAGTTTCAAGGCCATACAAAGCCATGTATGATAAAATTTCACAGTCTGCTTACTATACTCCGTATCATCTTCCGAGTTTGTTCGAGTAAAAAGTTGAAAAAAGGAAGACGTCCATCGGAATAGGTATACCGCGTCACTAAAATAGGTCACATTAGTAATGAACACCGTATTGCTAATCGAGACGATATATAAAGCGTCAACTTTTCGCGGATTGTGATATAGTTTCAAGCATTGGAATATAGTGACAAAGTGAAATAAGTTTCGTGGGTTAGGTCATTGGTTTTTCGATGATCATCTGTGTAAGTGAAACAGTGAAATAAATAAGAACAACAACAACAACACATTCAAGGCATATATGAGAAAGTTTAAAAACCTATCAAAATGACATCATTTCCTCAAATGAAGTGAAAACTTCTTTGGCCTACATCTTGTGGTATCGTTCGCGTTGAGGGCATAAATAATTCTTAGCGTAATGCGTGTAACGAGTGACACGTGTTCGGGCACAAATGTCTAGAAACACATTATGAAATTATTTTCTTTCTCTCATTCTTTCTATCTTTTTTTTTCCTTTGCTCAAGTCAAGTCTTATCAATTTTTAAAGCATACGCGCAATTTTACGCATACGCGTCATGATAATCGAAATAGATTCGTACAGCATTCCCTACACTATTAGATAAATTATATCTTCAAGGCATTCGTGTAGGTATGTCTCATTGTGTAATCTTTTGTATTTATGTTTGGCTTTTAAATTGGAAAACTTACGTTAGATCATTTCTGCATAATTAACTTAATTAATTTCCTTCTCTTCTCTTCTCTTCTCTTCTCTTTTTTTTTTTTTTTTTTCTTTTCGCTAAACCGCCATTTGTCATGTTTGATATGTGAAACTTTTTGATGCTTGCGTTGTGTCTCGCGGGTGGAGAGCAATCTGGGTTGAGAATTGTAAAGCCTTTACTTAACATTAATTCCTTAAATACTCGCTCGACTTGATTGAAGCGAATTTATGCTAACAACAATCAAGTCATATAATATTTTCCACATTCTCTATTCTCTTTGTATATTTAACTCTACATAGCTGCTGTTTGTAACGCTTAAAGCGATTGATTATCTTGTGTTTCGCAAAATAACAGTAAATTATAAAGGAAAACAATGTGATGAGTGCGTTGTAAGCACTTGGAACAATTTTCCCATGCAAATTACGAAAATTTAAGATGAGGGAAACATTTCGTATTTCGTATTAGCAAAAAAAAAAAAAAAAAGGGAAAATGTCACTCACTAATACTTTTAAGCAGAATGAACACGATAGAAAGAGACGTATGTTAAAGGCGTTCTGCTACGTCTCCTAAGATGATATCGCACGAAGACATTGCATCTAACAAAACAAAGTGTGCATACATACAGTCTTCTGTTCTGTACATTTTAGTTCATCGAGAATCGGTTTAGTAACAAAAAAGAAAAAAGAATTTTAATATTTTATCAAGTACTCATACTCATTAAGGCGTGTTTGGCAACGGGCGGGAGGAAAGATGAGAGAAGGGCGGAGGGGGGCAGCAGGAGCAGAGAAATAGACTAGATTTGCGAAATCTTTGCCGCTTTAGAAAGCATTCGTTCGGCACCCGATAAAACATATATGCATTCGATCCGACTGAGCAGCGCCGTTTGCCTATCTGCCAGACTGCAATCAAAAATAATGTCTGCACCTGTGTTTTTCGTTACGAAAATCGCCATGTTAAGCTGGAAAATTAATTTAATTGCGCGTAAAATTCGCTCTGTAAAAACGCCTTACACAAGTAGGACCTTCTTCTGATTACTAATCTATAGCGTGTTGTCAAGTTGTATAAAATCATAATTTATAATAACATATATCGTATCATCGTACATCATATGATCGTATATAATATCGTATCTTTTGAATAGTGGACACACAATACAGATTCGTTCGTTGAAATATTGTGTGAGTTGCAGCGGCTACGAGATATTGGAAAAGTCATTTTAATCCTTAATTAAGTCACAAGTAACACGGCTCTCGCTCGTAAGCTGCATGGGTTAGTTAGTAGCGTGAACATGTTCTCGAGAGATATCAAGCTTGGGGCGGGCAGTTCGTAAGACTCTTCTTATTGTTGGGCTTTCGTTTTTACACTTGGCGAAGAATATTAATCTGCCTAAATTTCTATGGATATGAGTTGATCGAACAAGTTGACATTATCTGCGATCTATCACCGAATCGGTGCCGTTAAAATAGTGCCCTAACAGCCCAATGTGTAGCTCATTCGATAGAACGACCATTTCCGCAGTAAGTTTTTCTGTAATAAAATTTCTTGCTGATGATTGTTGATGAAGACAAGATTGACTTGAAGCGAGCTTGCGATGCGTCCGGGTAAACTTTAGTATAAAGATTTTTAAAACGGATTGCGATTTCCAGGCCTTTGGAGTTGTGCTTCCAATCATGTTTAGCCAATGTCTGCTGGCGACTGTTGGAAACCGAATATGTAAAGTCATCTTAAATGCTTTTCGTTCGTGTACTCGAACGACAAATATTCATGTGTGTCGTGATGTCAAGTCATTGGTTATGATTTTCTTTGCTTTAATGGACGATTCCCTCAGTTATCGTCTTTGTCGAGTATTAATGATCTCGCAATAGCGTAAAATATTAATTTGAAAATTATTGTGATTTCTTTTTCTTTTTTTTTGTTCTCCTCATTGCTATGTGCTTTCAATTTGTTCACAAGCCCTTCCCTTCAACTCTTCCCATAGTGCACATAAAATACAACGGCATCCATCATAGAGTGGCACTGATATCCTTGCGATAATGTCTTATTTCTTGTATTTCCTTTACAATATTGTCACGATTATATAACTTTAGGGCAAGAAATTATTTTCTTATTTATAAGGAAAAGCGAAAAAAAAACAAAAAAAAAAAAAAATGTTTAAGAAAGGAAAAGAGAACAAAAAAGAAAAAGAAAAACAGTATGAATCCGAAACATAACAGATGCACGAGTATATCATAAAAATGAATGAATAGCAAAAGTTTTCCCCAGTAGTTTGTACGGAGCAGCGAAGAAACATTTGATTTTATTTGAGGGGAAACTTTGTTTTTTTATTATTTAATTTGATATTTATGAGGGTTTTGAAGAAAATATGCGAAATTTTTTTTTTTTTTTTTTGTTTTGGTTGTTGTTCCACTCTATTACAATATTGGAAAAGTTTTTTGCTTTTTATACTCAATAGCTGATGTTGCATCTATATCGTACAAATTGATGTAATACTTTGTAACATTTGGGCGAAATTTAATTAAAACAATATCTACCATAAGACAGGTAATAATGGCATAGAAAGTTTGGACATTGTTTTTTTTGTGTCATAAACTCGCTGATCGAATAACAGCATTAATCGCTGCTATCAAGGTCTTGTCACCTGACACCAGTGCGCGCTTGTCTTCCTTTTTTATTTTTTTTTTGTATTTTTTTTTTTTTTTTGCAAAGGTAAAGTCTATGCGAAGCAATCACGCTTAATAAGAGATATTAACATTAGGATTCAAATAAGATTCGATTGCTGGACTCTTATTGAGGAAAATGATAGCAAACAAATTCGTGCAAACGCAGTCGGGCTACTCTTTGTAACGATATTCAAGAGTAAAATAACGTCATGTCTTACTTCTACCACATTAGAAATTCTTCTTTTTCTTCTTCTTATCCATTCGTAGCCCTCGATATGAATGCATTCATTAACGGTTGACAATTTACTTTTATACCCTTTAAAATCCTGGGTGTCCTGTGTGTCAACAATTTAAACTTAAGCGTGAAAATTGTCGAGCACGCATGCCATTTAAATCGTGCGGGATGGAATAGTTGCCTCGAAATGTCAAACAAAACTTTATGGATCAGTGTAACATAAACCGCTACAAAAGAAGTTTTCCAAAATTCGAAATAACGAGTAAAAAGATATGATAGGATTATGGATCTGCTCACGCTCTATTCCCGATTGGACTTGAAGTTCATTTCAAGTAATCGCAACACAATATTGTCTCAAACCGAGGCAAAAGCTCTGTAAATAAAATCTTGGGCATATGACACACGGCGGTGATTAATTATCGGGACTGATGCATAGATGCCGTCAATGTCAAGATTTGCTTGCATTTCCTTGATTTATTTACAACTTATAGTCGTCTTAGCGACGCTATGCCCGTCTCTGATTATAAGCGAAGCCACACGGGCGAGATTAAGTATATACGACGTAGGGACGTATAGGACTAGAGAATATCCAAAAAATACGCAGAGTTCGCGGTCGCTTGAGTCGTCAGTAGCTGCCGATATCGACGAAATGTTTGTGTGTGTAGTTTGGGGAAACGGTAATGTTCGCTGTACGCCAGGCAAAACTATTCCTTTGTAAGAACGGCGTCTTTATGCACTACGAGGATAATCCGGCGAAATGAAAGGTTCAGCTATTGTCGATCTTGTTTGTCAGGGTGTTTTAGTAACAAACAAAAAAGAAGAAATGCAAAGATTTGGATCAAGAGGTGAGATGAGTCTCGAAATTGAGGCGTATTTGGGTGGTCTTGGCAAGTCGTTCTATAAGAAAGCGTTGAAATTGTGAGGACCAAATGAAGATCGATTTTGGTATCACACATAAGCTTATTGTACGTATTTTACGTTTACCGTGGACTTTACTGTAAGATTACCACCTGACAGATTCAAGTAGTGAAAAAGCCATCGACTTTGAATCAGAATTACAAAGGACTAAAAGTCCGTTATTCGACTAACATCGTCATTATTGAAAGCGATCGCGTTATGGAATAAACAAATTCCTTGTGTTTGTCTTTTGTGCATCAATTACTCCTTGAATTCATACAAACAGCTAAGCGATGCGTGAACAGAAAGTTGTCTAAAGGAAGCCGTCCTGTTATTATTATTAATTTAGCGAAGCGAAATAAATCCCAAGACTAAAGTTTCAAAGCATTGGCATCTAAAGCGGATCAGCTTCGCTAAAAACTCGACCGCACTTGAGACCCAGTTGCGATCGATGAATTGTTACTCGAGATAGTTTAATTACGCTGCATGCATGTAGAGGTAGCCTCGCTTAACACGATATTTGTTAAGCATTGCCCCGCTACAAGACGTTACAAAATTTGCGAATATTCTAACAGTGATTCCGATACATGCTCGCGTATGTGTTTTTTGTTTTTGCTTTTAATTCAAATTTTCCTTTCAATTTTATTTTCTCATTAATAAGAGCTTAACGTTGAATTTCATACCTTTTTATTTTTTTTTTTTTTATTTTTTTCTTTCAAGTTAATTTACTTTTTGATTTTTATGTACGTTTGTAATGAAATTTCATAAAGAGATTTTCATCGCAACAATTTTTGGACCTTAAGACTTGGTTTCAAATGCACGACGGTAGACATTGCATCGATTTACATTCTTCCAAGATATTTTACATATGACACGATCTCAATATAACATGGATTCGTCTTCGATACAACCCGATCTATATATATATAGTTTTGATTCATTGTCATTTATATGAAGGCTTAACTGTGTTAAACGGGAGTACGGGGAGTACGGGACGCCTAAGTGTTAGGTAATGTGTTATGATTTATTTGTATATACATATGTATAACATAATATGTAACTAAATATTTATATGTAAATTAAAGATATACAATACACAAGCATTCGACTATGGTATATAAGTTAAATTTTACGAACCTCTCATATATATGTAGGCCGTGCCACGCATATTACGTCTCGTTAATACAACGAGATTGAGTACGTTTCCAATAATGCCCAGAGCACATATGATGGGCAATATAATGCCGTAAGAGTATTCTCGTAATATTTCCGTGCGTGGATCCTATAAAAATACACAAAAAAAAAATAAAAAAAGAGTGAAAAAAAATGAAAGAAGGGAAAGGAAAAGAAAATGTCAACACAAAACAGGAAAAACGAACGAAAGTAATAAATAAAATAATAATAAAAGAGAGATAATTAAATAACGCATAGTATCCGGAACATATGAAGCCAGTCTACGACCCTTTATATTATTGGTCTGAGAATTAAAATCAAAAACCAATGAATAGTTTTTCTACCTCTCTCCCTTTAACACTCATATCAATGGTATGTGCGTTCGTTTCATTAAATTTGGTTTAAATGCAAAGAAGAAGACAAAAAAAAAGGTAAATAAATTTGATTTACATGATACTTATGGGCACCAAGTAAGTAATGTATTGAGATAATTGAAAGCCTTGTTGTTGCCAACAACAAATATTAATATAATTTTTTCGATTAGAAATGATTACAATGAGAAGTAAGTAAATTCGTTATCGTTTCGTTCGAATAGGTTAAGTGAACTTTAAGTGAAGTGTTTGGGCAAGAAATTGAAATTGAAAGTCAATTCATTGACTCAAGTGCCATAGAATTGATAGGAAGACTAAACATTTTATAGCGTAACTTTTGCACATGCATTTGCATAATGAAGCGGTACACTCACTCGTAGTCAATGAAACGATATGAGTGATATGTGAATTGTGTGACAAATTTATCAAACTATATCGAAATGAAGGGAGAATTAAATGAAATCCTCACAGTCGCGGCTTGACTTGGCGCACTGGACAAGCGCAGTTTCATTTCTAAAGCGAGTAATACAAGCAGGCTCTTGACTCTCTGAAGCGGCTACCGTTTCATAATAACTAACGCGTACTAAGCACGGGAAGTTTCTATTGCAGATCACTTAAAATCGGGAACTCAGCAATGACATCGAACGATGTATGTGTGAAAGGCATAGGGCGTGGCTTATGTCTTTTTGCATTGGACTTGATTTTCAAGAAAATGATATTGAAATTTTTGTTAGAAAATCTTCACTTAATCTTCACTCTGTTGTATATTTATCGTAACTGCTTTCTATCTGCTATCTCTGTTCATTTGGCATTTAAAACCTGAACGATTACTTACACTATCACCTAAATGAATATGAAAAGGGTTTTCTTTATTTTTTTTTTTTGCTTTTTCAATATTTCAATCAATTGAATCGAAATCTTAATGCGCTTACCTCATTGCTTATGTAAAAATCGTCGCGTAAATTGTCGCCAACTGTAACAGATGCAACAACGGCAGAAGCAGCAGAATTCCTACCGGAACTTACGTAACCAGCACTGGCACCATTTAATGAGATCGAAGCAGCTGTTATGCCACCAACATTACTGTCATTTTCATCAGCAGCAGGCGTTGCCGTAAAATTCGTACCCCATATAATCGAACACAATGCCGGATCCTCTTCGGTTGTATAGAGTCGCGTTAGCATAGTTTGTTTAACGTACACCAGCGCATTTGTACATACATATATATGGGTGCGTGTATGTGTTTATAGGTATAGTTAAATTTTAAACCGGAACGGAAGAGTAACAAAATATAAAAAAAAAATAAATAAATAAATAAAAATAATATAACTATAAAAATGTTAATGCGTTCGTTCAGTTATACCGAAATGAATCACTCAACCAAAGAGAGACTAATTAATTTAGATTTCCGTCCAAGAGAGAAAATAAAAATAAATTAAAAATAATAAGAGAAACGAAGAAAAGAAAAGAAAAAAAAGAAGAAAATTTATAATAAAACTTTAACGGTGAAAAGAGAAGGGAAGAGGAGAAGGTTGTTTTCTCGTCTTCGAACCGTTTTTTAATGAACTTCTCTGCGCCTTTTATTTTCTCCTTCTCGTTAGGCTTGGAGCAAACTTTTTCGCTTATGCTCCCCGCCTTTTATAAGTTAGTTAGTTCTTGTTTTTCTATTTCATGTGTTACTATTATCACTATTATCGCTATTATTATTATTATTATTATTTTTTTTTTAATATATTTTTACGTTTTTTTTTATTTTTTATTTTTATTTTTATTAATTTGATAATTTAATTTTTCTCTTCCGATTTTTTGGCTAACAGTTTCCGTTGATGTATGGCTTTGGCTTTTGTTGTCCTACAACGACATTGCGAGCATTGAGTGGCAGTTACTGTTTTTGTTGTTCTTGTGATGATGATAAAGGTTTTGTAAATAAATGCTTTTAATTTGCGTTGCTTTTGTTGTTGTTGTTGTTGTTGTTGTGGCTTGTGCTGTTGCTTTTGCTGTTGCTGTTGCTGTTGCTTGTATTTCGTTGGTGTTACATTGTGCAAAATTTGCATTTTTGCCAGCGCAACCGTATGCAAATTGTGGAGGATGCTGCGTTAACATTTTACAACACAAACAAAATCAAATGATATTTTTTTTTGTTTTGGTTTTGTTTACTTTTAAATTTTTTATGTATATTTTGCCGCCATTTATTTCAAAGGTCGCATTGCTTCAACTGAAATGGGAGAGAGAAGACCAGACCAGAGATATAAGAGTCTGAATAAATTTTAAATACAGATTCCGTTAGTGAAGTGATTTGTCGCTGCAACTCATTTAAATGTGATTTTTCATTTTACACGAATATCGTCATCGTGTCATCAAGTATCATTTTATTTATTTTTAATTTGACATACATCTATACATATATGAGATATATTGAAATTTCCCGCCCACGTAAGCTTTACACACATGCCAAAGGTTTCAACACCTTGATAGTAATCAAGGACTGCTAACAAAACGGGGAACATATTTGAAATTTGGAATTCATCAGGACTTTGTCAGAATGATCTGATCTGAGCTATTGGCCTCTACTTGATTCAGTTTTGTATGAAGACTATCGAAGATATAACATAGATTGACTTATTGACATAAGACGAATGATATATATAACTGGACTGGGCCCATTCCACATAATGCATGATAATGATGAATTGCGATAAGAGATTCAAGCTTCCAGTTTAGGTCCTTTTGTGAAAAAAAATCTCCCAAATATTCAAATATTAACATGAAGAGAATTATATTACAGTTATACCGTAAAACACTTGCGGCAGCGGGATAAAAAAAAAAGGGATGTAAGAGATTTTATGTTGATGGGCGATATTCTCTCCCTATTACCTCTTACTATAAGTTATAGTTATCGTTTAATTGCGGTATCTTTTGCAATCTAGAAGAGATTCAGTTCATAAATATTACATGTTTCCAAATGGACAGCAAAGAATAGGTGCATAAAATATATTAAAAGTAAGCATTTTTATGGAAATCATCAGTTTAGGCAGTCAATAGGCCTGCGTTTAGATAAAAACGAAATTAATTCACATCAGCACTCTACTGGGATATCTCCGATAATTCGTTTTTAATGCTACGGGCAATTTAACTCCAAAGATCTTCGAAGTTTCTCGAAAGGATTGACTTGGCCATTCATTGATTTTGAAGCTATGCTGCCGGAACCACGCTTTCACCAATTTGAATGAATGTTGCGGATCATTATTATCTCACTACGTCGGCCCGCTAAAGCATTATAATAATGTCAAGCCCTAAATTTTTCATTGCGACGACTAGCTCACGTGGATTTCCCCAAATTAATGTTAAACGTTGCTAATGAGCTTTGTGGATGCTACCTTTCAGAAATTCTTGTATAGTGTAGAACTGAGATATACACCGCGCACCTATTTTTCTGTCCACCTGTGTATATTATAATAATGTGTGGGTGTGTGCAACTTGTGGTTATGACGAGACATCAGAAAGCCCATCATCAGCATCATTTAAGCATTTGTGAACGTTCCAAACGATCTGCTGAAATCTACTTAAGAGTGCTTTATAATTTATAAATCAAATTTTCGGACAATACATTAAACGTAATTATTATGAATGATTATGATTATGGTTAATTGAAATGGGGCACAATTTATATTCATAAAGCGAGCCGATCAGTAAGGCGAGCCCCAATTAAACTAATTTTTAATATAATTAACTAACCTGACCTAAACTAGAAGCATTGCCGAAAGCATTGTTGTAACAATGAAATCATGGCATAAACCAAAAATTGTTAACATAAAAACTAGTAAAAATTCTCTATATATTCTATAACCTTGTGCATAAGCCAACATAATGAACAACACAGTGTGGTGTTCCGCACAAATGAAAACTACTACTTAGTTACTTAGCCATAACAATGAAAACGACCATTTTCTACTTTAGATTTCATGCAGTGCAATTTAAAGGGTAAAAAGAAAAAAAAAAAAAAAAAAAAAAAAAGGAAAGAAAGAAAAAGCATAAAAACATAAAAACAACAAAACACGAAAACAATACAAAACAGTTTCCTTTAAGTGGTAATTATAGTAATAAAAAAAGAAAAAAAAAAAAAAAGCAAAAACTCTTGTAACAATGCTTTTGTAACAGAAGAACGCATCTTTGTATGCATGTAAGTTGCGTGTATTTGGAGCAATGTTGCCAATTTCGGAAAATTAAGAATTAGTTAGCAAGATATGAAAATATTGAGTTGGGTGAATAAACTATAGGCGGTATTGTGTGACGACAACCACAGAGTATGGTGCGAACGAACGAACGAACGAACTAACAAACGAACGAACGAAGGAAGGAACGCTTTCTAAACATTGACGTCTCTCATGTATCCTTAATGAGAAAACTTGTTCATAAGTAAATGTTTGCGTTCAACTGAATGTTGTTATTTAACTTGGCTTCTTATTACAAGATTTTCGCATTTCTAAGTGAAATAATTCTCCTCTTAAGTCACTGAAATTGATAAATGAAAAATGTACACAATTACCATAGCAGGTTGCTCTTTATTAACGATAAAAAGTAGTATTTCAAGTTGTGGTCGCCACTCCAATACCAATATTTTTTTTTCTTATTGCCTTTCGATTAACTATGCAAAAGCTAGTTGCTTCGAAAGGTATCCCGCTTCCAGGTGTAAATTCTCGAATGGGCGAGCATTTGTTATTAACGCGCAACGAACGGGGCTGCTTCAAAATTAGAGTAAGCAAGGAAATAAGTAGACATTGTTGTTGTTGTTATTCTTTAGGTTAAAATAATATCTTGAAGGAATGCTGCAAATGAACAATATTTGATTGCTTTATAATCGGGTCAAGAGACAATGCTTGGCGGGATCGGAGAAGGGGAATACATTTTCTCTGAAATCGAATAAAAACTGTATGTTGCAGAGAATAGAAACGACATCAGCAGCTGGTGTTCATTTCCATTAAATCGCGGCCAAAGTGATTTCTCTCGCGAAACAAAGAAAAAAGCGACTGATAAGCGACTTGGATTAACTCGCTGTAGAAGCAAACAAAAAACAATTAATATGTTTTGCTCCTTCATATACGTCGTCTTAGAGATTGTTGTTGCATTTTAACGATTTTTTTTCTTTTTGTTTTAAAGTCTTAATGGATTTACGAAAGCAACAGTGCAAGTGAAGGTAAAATACAAGGATAGGGACAACAAGCCTTAGCCTAAATTAATACGAATCGAAGCAAATTCCGATACGGAGAAAATCTTCCACGTTCCAGGTTTTCTGGACCTGGAAAATTAATGAAATAAAATCCTATAGTACTTAAGAAGTTTGTTTGCAACGAATTCTTTCTAGTCGCACTTTATCGCCAACGAATAGTTTCTGTGTTATAGCTGTCGGTAAAACATATCGGGCGGTGGTAGAAAAGGGCAAGGGCTTCCCACAGAAACCTATCATTTACTTAAATCAAATTCGAAGGATAAGTGAATTTAGAACAAAATTCCGTTTACCAATCGTTTAGACCTTTCGGAAGCAACAACATTCATTCCACTAATCTAGCAAATCATTCTTCCTCAAATATACAAACACGTTGGACTTAGCCATTGTCCGTAATGTGCCTTTACGCCTCGTCGAGAGCAAAGCTCTCCTCTTTAGCCTTCAAATATTCAATATTTACTGTAGTGTATCGATTAAAAGTCGAATTAATTTTTGTTTTCTAGCTTTTCATTAGTTTTTCTACCCACCTCCGCAGATTGGAGGTGTAATTGTGTAATGTATACATATTCTCGATCGTTATCAAATCCGTCTAACCGCCCAATCCCGATCGCAAGATGCAAGGCATCAACTCCAAATTTGGCAAACAAATTTGTAACTTTTTACAGGCCGATGGGTATTAAAAATAGACCAAATCTCTTAACGGTAACGCCCACCTAAACTGAGAAAATTTTTATTTTTAAAGATGAAAAAAAAAAAAAAAAAAAAAAAATTGGTTTCCTATAGGAGATACAACACCTGTATGTGCTATGGATGGATGATCCATCCTACAGTAGTTTAAAAAAAAAAAAAGGTAAAGCCCGCCCAGTATTTTCGAGTATCAAAATTTAAAAATTCGACCAAGACCGAATATAATTTTCATATTCATTTTGTTTAGTTGAAAACAGTTTTTATGAAATTTTATATAGCAAACTATTACTTACACGTTGGTACATGATCTGAAGGTTGCTGTAAGTTGTGCAGGTATTTTGCATGTTCATATAATTACCCTTTGAACCTGAAG